CTATCTCCTTGAACCAATAACCTGAGATAATTAACTAGTTATAATTAGTTGGTTTTTCTTTTCTCTCAGTGTTAATAAATTGTCTTTTATCTCAGAGTATAATTGACAAATCTTTGAAGAAGATGTGACAGAAAATAATTACTTTTATTTCAACTTGATCTCTTCATTAGAATCAACACATTCTTTTTGATATGATAAAATTGTGTCTCAATTGTGACAGCATTCATTTGGAGTCCATCATAATAAGCACAGTTGTATCTGCATATCAATGTAACTGACCTTCAATGAAAAATTTATTATTGTACTGTCAGTAGCATTTCACCTTGCCATCAGTAACACATCTTTTCAATAGACACTTGTTCATTTAAGTTTACGTCTGTAAACTGCTAATGTTTGCTGGCCTTCCTTCTTTTTTGCTTTATTTTGTTGTTTGAGTCTTGTTTGCACACCTCTAACATGTATTAAAAGACATTTTTGTAATCTTCCTGAAGGTCACTAATTATGCACCAGTAATAGATTTGTATATGATTAGAAGAAAATTGTTGTGGCCGTGCTCGTTGTAAATGGTTTTGGAGGCAGTGGTGGTGGGATTTCCCCCTCTCTTGCAAGGTAGTGGAAGGAGATGCTACCTGGAAGGGGAACCCAGGAAGAAGGAGGAAGGAGGGAATGGGTGTTGAAACATACCCCCACCACCTCGACATTGTCTTGCTGCAGGACCACTGCTTGTGGAGATGACTGTGGGATAAGCAATTGCCACAAGAAAAAAGTAAAAAAAAGAAAGAGAGAGAGAGAGAGGGAGACGTTGCTGAAGAGCCACATAAGGGAACTAGGTGTTTCAAGAGAAGGGAGTGTACAAAGGAGGACAAGACAGGCCTGTAGCAGATGGAGAAGGAAGGAGAGAAGAGTACAAAAGATAAACACGGCCTTGCCCCTCATCATGTGCTGTCCCCCGAGGCAGTGTAGACAATGTTGCATCGCTGTAGTGGCGGCTGCTGCTGCCTGGGTGCTGAACGTGAGGACCACGGAGTCTGCTGCCAACCAGGGAGGAGACGTTATCGTGGAGCGCTCCTGTGGACCCCCTCTGTGCAGTGCAGTGACAGCGTTATGTTGTGATACGTTGTATGTCAGCTTCTCTCCACCTGCCACATGACAGGGAAACTTCAGTGCCAGGCCTCGGAGAGTACAGCATGTCCCAGGACACTGCTCTGGGAGAAGGAAGGGTTGCTTCAGGTTAGTGACAGCTGTCAGTGCTGTCGGAACCATCAAGTGTAATCCATTGCAGCCAGTGTCATCGATGGAATGTTATTTTGGTTGGTGATGGCGGTCCATTCAGTTGACATACTTATTTTGAAACCTAATGAAATGGCAGTTATGGAAGTGTCTTGTCAGCTATCTGTGTTTGTGTCAAGTGAATTGTGCAATTTGTGAGTGTTTGCTCCTGTCTTGGAGTTTGACATCAGTACTTAAGTGGATTTTGTGAATTTTTGCAAGAGGTAGGGTTGTCAATTTTGTATACAACCTTCATTGTACCCAAATTTGACTTCATTGGAGTTGGTGAGTAGGGATTATTTTTTTCTAATTTTAGATTTTTGCTTCATTTTCTTATTTGGGAATTAAGATGTTTGGTTTATATCATGGAAACTCGTAGTTGCGAGTTCTGTTTGCAGCTTTCTTACAGTGGTGAATATGATTAATATCTCGTTTTCTAATAGTTTCGAATAGTTGCGTAATAATATTAAAAAGGAAAGCGAACGCGGGAGCATAGAAATCTATTGGCGACATTTCAGAAAATAGTTGGGTAAATTGATCTCTAATAGATGCCACGTGCGGCCACGTACGCTGGCGACAGCGCGCGGCTGCCGTTGCACGTGCCGGAGGCAGCGATTCCCGTTGCCCACTGCGCTACTCACGACTTGGTGACTCCCAACCTCACTCTGCTCGCGGTGGAAACTGGAATTAAGATTTCGTGGATCACTTCTTATCCGGGAATTCTTCATTGATCTGGCAATGGCGATGAATTCACCGAAACGTTCTTTAAAGAATGCTTCTGAAATATTTCGTTGAGACTAAATCGCTGCACTGAGGCGGATCACGTGTTCTGTGTTTCGTTGTGTTCGAAATCCGCGCCTTTAGGCAACGCCCAGCGGCCGAAATCTTCGGAAGCAACTGATGTTCCTCTCCTGTGGCGCTAGTGTACGAACAGCGCTTCACTCCCACGCGTGTATTCGCGGTGCACTGGCGCGAACGAAGGAGCATACGCGCCGGTTCACGCGACGCGAAACAGAAATGCGACGACTGCGGCGCGGCGCGGCGCTGCGTACGGGGAATACCGCGGCCGGCCGCCGCCGCCGCCGCCTCCCGTGCTTTTTGCCGCGTCTCGCCTCGGCGTAACCTTGGAGCGAACGTCCACGCGGACGAGACGAGCGCGAGAACTATGGCGTAGAGGATCGCGCGCCCCGGCCGGGATCTTAAAGAGGAATTAATCGGGTCGGGCAGTCTGTGAGGGGCGGTGCACGGTAGACCTTTCGGATTCGGAAAGAAAAACAGTATTCAAAAAGTGAGAAAAAATTGAATGCGGGTGGTGGGTGGCGCTGCGGCGGTCGGGACGGGAGCGCGCTCGCCCCGGTCGTCGCTTACCTGGGCTGGCGTGAGAGCGC